TTTTCCTTACTGTGTTTCTCCCCTTACTCTGCAGGCGTCTTTCTCGTGCCCTCCTGCCACTGTCACGAGTCTTTAGAAAGTAGGCTCCCCCTGCTTCCTCTCTAGTCTGCTTTCCATTCTATTTTCTACTGATGCTGGTAAGGAAGGTGGAATTTTCCCTTCCAGTGACCTTTGCCGAGTCCTGGCCTTCTGGCTGCCTGGACTGTGGACCACCTCTTCCTTCTCAGAAGTCCCTCCTCCTTCATGACTGGGTCCTGCCCTAGGTGTCCTGCATCCTCTGCATCCCCTGAGTAGTCCTTCCACTAGAGAGCCCTGAATTGGGTGGTCCCACAAGGCTTTCTCCTCTGTGGGCATCTCAGCTGCTTCCTCTCTGCTGATAATGCCCAAGTCTTCATGCCCAAACTTGGCCAGTCTGAGCAGCTGCACAGACGCTGCCCACGGGGCTTCCAGACTTGGTAGACTTTCTCACTCACTTACCTCACTCATTGTGGGTTGAACTGTAGCCCCCAGAAAAATATGTCAAAGCCCTAAGCCCTGGCACCTGTGAATGTACCCCCCTTGGGAGTAGGGTCTTTGTACATGTAACCAACTTAAGACAGGGCCATACTCGATTAGACTGTGCCCTAGTTCACTGTGCCTGGTGTCCTCATGATAAGGGAAACACACAAGGAAAGTGCCATGTGGTGGCGGAGGTTGGAAAGCTGTACCTATAAGCCAAGGACCACCAGCAACCCCCAGAAGCTAGAAGGGGCAAGGATGGGTGCTCCCCTCGAGCCTTTGGAGAGGGCTTGGCCCTGCAGACATCTTGCTTTCGGACTTCTAGCCCCCAGGACTGGGAGAGAATAATCTCTGGTGGACGGCCACCCGGTTTGTAGCAGTTTGTGACGGCGACCCTAGGAAACTCCTCCGTCACTGGTCTCCCCATGTGCCGTCCTTCTAGGAATCCGCTTTGAACTCCTGGACTCAGCCCTGAATCCCCTCTCCCTCACCTTGATGCCTAGTTTCCCATCACCTTGTTGCCTCGACTGGGTGTAGTGTCTCCACCTCTTCTCTGCTTGAGTGCAGTCACCCTGACTCTGGCCTCTCCCGTCTCCTCTCCATCCAGCAAACAGCAGTTGATACAATTTGCATAAAGCAGTTCTGATCGTGTTGCTGTCACTGCAGCACAGATTTGGTGTGCCTCACTGCCAGTTGGAGTGACCAGTTCACTGCATATTGGGATCACCTGGGAAAATTTTAAAGCTTTTGTGCCCACTTCACGCCGCTGACTATCAGACCAGGATGTGTGGGGGCGGCACCCAGGCATCTGTATTTTCAGGGCTCCCCACATGATTCCAGTGCGCAGCCAGGCCTGAGAACCATGCACCCATAGGACGTCACAACAGCCGGAGGAAATTTAGGGAAGAGAGATACGTCAGTGGTCCTCAAGTGGGGTGATTTTGCGCTGCAGGAGACATTTGGCAATGCCTCGGGACGTTTTTGGTCACGACTAGGGTGCAGTTACTGGCGTCTCGTGGGTAGAGACCCGGGTAGCTGCCCCGCCCCCTGCAGTGCACAGGACGGCCCCAGAGTGATCCCGCAGTGATGCAGCCCGGGCTGTCACCCGTGCGGACGTTGAGCAGCCCCGCTTTCAGAGATGGGACAGAAGCAGCGGCGCTGGCCTTTACAGCTGTGGGCTGCCCCACCGGGAGAAACGCCCCGCCCCGCCCCGCGC